GCCGTTCGCGGTACTTAATGTGGGGGAAGCTGGCCGGGGGGGGGCCGCTGCTCGGGGACTGGCTGGGCATCGGTCGGCGGGGGGTGAGCAATTGTACTGTGCATCACTTGCTTTGTGTATTATTACTATTATCATATTATTATTATTATCATTTTATTTCAATTATGAAACTGTTTTTATCTCAACCCACGAGTTTTTCTCACTTGCGTTTTTCCAATTCTCTCCCCCATCCCACCGGGTGGGAGGGAGTGAGCGAGCGGCTGCGTGGTGCTTAGTTGCTGACTGAGGTTAAACCACGACAATCTGTCATCTTGAAGTATATTTGAGCACCTGCTCTGTGTGTCAATGAGTTGATGTGCATCTAAACCTAGCTGAGATACTTCTGGCTTATTATCTTTTCTTCTTCCTTAAATTGGAATTGAAATTTCTCAACTTACAGCTAAGCAAATCTCCCAGACATCCTTCACTTAATGTGCTTCAGTTCATATCATGGAACTCTTGGAGTGCATCAAATGGATTTCCTTCAGATGAAACTAATGCAGATGCTGTAATCCAGTAGAACATATAATACACTTTAGACTCTAATGGAACCAGACTAGAATGAGTCTACAGTAGCCCCGAGAACACATATAGTGTGGACCCTACACCCTCAGCACCTACATCATGTGTTCTACAGATCTGCTTCTATTGGGCCACACTGTTTTCTAATGTAGACATAGCCAAAGCCCACCTTGCACCATTCATGAGCACAGACATCAAAGATTTTTCCTGTGAGACCTCATCCTCAACACAGCTTTAGCCAGCTCAGAAAAACCCTCTTGATATCAGCCTATGTGCATTCTTTTACTAGCAGCAGTCTCATCATCTTTATTCATTTACCTTCTTTCATTGTGAACCTCGTGAATTTTTAGGTCTCGCATAAAAGCGAACGACTGACAGCAGCCATCTGCATGTTGAGCAGCATACAATTTTTCTCCAGCTCTGGACGTTTTGTTTATAGTACTGATTTGTGTGCATGTGTTAGTGTGTGTGTTTGAATGCATCTGCGGCCAGACACACAACTACCTCCCATTGTGTACATCTGTCACACACATACTACAATAACCATTATAAGAACACTGCTGGGCAACAACTCTTGTCATTAAGAGGTGCAAACCATCGTTTTGCATTCAAAATATGCTCTAATGGAAAAGGCTTGTTTCAGGTTTTTTTCCCACTACCAAGCTCTGAAACAAAAACGTTTAGGGACAATCTTCTCAAGTTTGGTTTTTTTTTTCTTCTAAAAGAAGAGTATTCAAGGTATCCAAACTTCCTCCCCTTTTTTTTTTCTTTTTTGACTTCTTACTGTGCTCTCCCCACCTCCCTCTCTGTCTCTCATTCCACAGTTTGTTTTACCTTTTTCCTGATGATTTAGATGGAGTGGGGTATTTCTTTGTATGTGTAAGAACTACTTCCAATTTCCAATATTTTTAGTATATTTTCATTAGGGGGAAAAAAAAAAAAAAGTCCAGCAGATTCCTCTTTCCTTGCTTCCCATTTATATTCCCACATACAACACCACCGGCAGATCAGAATCTCCTCTACCCTAAGCAGCACGAGTGACACGC